ATATATACAATATTTTAGCTGTGGTGATGTTATCAATATCATACACTCCCATCACCTTTCCATCAGAAGATGGCATGTGTCTGGCCAACAATGTAGATTTTATAACCTGATTTTCAGGAAAGTAAAATAAATGTATCAAGATAAAAAAAATTTGCCTAGCAATAATAGAAATGTAGCTATAGATACAATTATTTGACTTACATAACCTAAAGTAGCCAGGTTTTCACTTTAAATTCACTTTACTCAAAATTGATTATTCTTTGTTTTACAATAAAGTTATTGTATAAATTAGATTGCGTGGATCTTTTTTCAGTAAATTAGCTCTCATTGTTACATCTATCCCCAGCTAGTGTTACAACAACAGTAGTCGGGTAGATTGCAACAATGGAACTCTTTGTGTTTGACATTAAATTAAAAATATTTGAGTATAAGTGAGTTTTTGTCCAAGTCGTGTTTCAAAGTTTAAGAGATAAAGCACAAACAACCACTTTACTGATGCTCAAACAAAAGGTGTTACTTCCGTCCCCGGTCTCCCCTATTATATGGTCTGCTTCACAGTTGCAGTTCAATGTTCAGTGTTGCCACGGCCATTCCCCTGTGTGCTCCGGCACTGGTGATGGGTCCTATTTCCTGAAAGAGCAACACGGGTGAGCAACATCAACATCTTACAGCGCAAGTGCAGCGGTGATCGCGAGCTTTCAACTGCTGTTTTAACAGCAACAAATTTCTAAATGTTTGTGTTTGTTGACGGCTAGTTAGAGGGCGGAAAGGTGAGTGCTTCACTGTTTCAGTTCACTGTTCAGTGTTGCTACGGTCATTCCCCTGTGTGCTCCGGCACTGGTGATGGGTCCTATTTCCTGAAAGAGCAACACGGGTGCGTTTGCGTCTTTTTCAAGATGTCATTCCACCCGTGCGTTTTTGAATGCTGTTCCTCTCTGACGGTCACAATGGTTGCATCACGTGTTTAGTTACCTACTATTTATTTATTTAGTCATTATCACTGTGATAAGCACAAAAAAAGTCAATCATTACTTATTAAAAAAATGAAAACTTTCAAGGTACATTTCAAACAATTCTAATGTCCTATAGATTGTGGGTCTCTTACCTAGTTCCTTATTCCAGCTACAGACTGAGATTTCAACAGTCCTAAGTTAGTATAGGAGAATAAATCATCATCCCAGTAAACAATTACCGTCTTTCAACGTTGAAATATGGTTGAAAATAAGTCGGTCCACCTTGGACTGGTTTACGACGTGATTTCAACTAAGTAGTTTCGGCTGGACTGTTTGACTACGTGTTTTCAACTGATCATCTAAGATGTTCAACTGATAATCAAGACAGGATAATTGTTATAGGCTACATGTTAAAACAACGGAGAAAACAAACTACCAAACCATGTTTATTATTATCTCAAATAAATTTAAAGACTTTTACATATTCCGTAATAATAAAAATAAAAAATATATATATATATATATATAGAAACTGCGTTTGAGGTGCAATGAGGATTCATACTTGGAAGAATTACCACACCCCAGCTGGTGGCGGTAATGCACCATTTAAGTTAGTTGCCAACCGCCATAAAACCGGAAGAAGAGGAAGATGAGGACATACAGCAGAGGAAGCGTGCGAATCTGTATTATTCATCCCATCAAGCCAACCGCCAGAATGGCTGAGACACTTAAACATGCCCCCGGGAGAGCTGGAGGTGGAGGTCGCAAAGTGTGAACATTTGTAGTGTACATTTTTTAAGTTGTTTTGTGTTGACTCTTTGAATGTGCTTTTGGAATGTGAAATCTGTGTTGGTTACTGGTTTGCACTATTTTAAAATGTGTTGTTTTAATAAAGCTATTCTAAGCTAACTCTTTAAAGCTTTGTTTCATTCATATGTTAATCTAAAATGTAATTGGCATATTGTTGGACTTGAGAATTGTCAATGGAGTAAACGTTGAAGATCAACCTGTTTTCAACGTTGAAAAGTCGGACAAATTTGACGTCTTTTCAATTCTTCATTTTCAACCTTCAATGGACCGTAATTAGACGTTGAAGATCAACCTGTTTTCAACGTTGAAAAGTTGGACAGATTTGACGTCTTTTCAATTTTCATTTTCAACCTTCAGTGGACCGTAATTAGACGTTGAAGATTTACGTCTATTCAACGTCTAATAGACGACTTTTTGCTAGCTGGATAGCATGCACTAGTGGTAAACAAAAAGAGCAAGATCAATCACACTTCAGCAATTGTAGTTTTTATGTGCACTGAAAAAAGAGGAGGAAAGAGGAGAATATGGATGCGGTCATGAATAGGGAAAAGAGGCCAGATTGGCATGACAATTTTGCAAATGAAGCTTGAGGAAAGTAAGTTTTAGCGCCATGTCGTGTTGATCAATACGCCATTTCATGTTGCATTTTTATTGACTAGTCAGCAGACATAGGTCATAGCAGCAAACACACACTGTGAGACGATCATGCTAAATTTAAGACACTGTCAAATAATTATCGCAGGCTATCTTTGGTCACACGACCGTGATAACGGCCGTCTTTAAACCTCTCTCACTGTACGATGTAGGACCACCGTTTAGGAGCCGAACACAGAAATCACCATGATTGGTCATCTTTCGTCTGAGACAGCCCAAAATCATGTGTATGTGTACCGGGCATTAGTTTGGCACAGTTTAGAATCTGATTAACTCTCAGGCCGATCAAATTTAAAACATATTCACTTATTTTCCCTTTTTTATGTTTTTCATGTCAGTATATGAGGATTTAAAGAATGGATCCTTTTCACATTTCAGGGTTTGGCCATGGAAGAAAATGATAGCAGGGTAAGCAGCACCTCTGGCTTATAGAGGTAAACGGAAAAGCAGAGCCAATTTAATTTCAGTGTTCCCTTTAGGTCGAAAAATCCATCATCACATCACATCACATCACATCTACAACTGTCCAAAGGGGAAAAGTAGAGAGAGATGGATTATGGCAATGAGAAGAGAGAAAGTGGCAAAGTGTTGACTAGTTTACTAGTGTATTGGATCATATCCCACAGTGATCTAAATATACTTTAAAAAAATATATATATAATAAAGTACATTAATCGTCATCTGTGATAAGAATTCATCATCACTTTTTTAACATGAGGAAATGTATAAGATAAGATATGAGTATGAGACTTGCTGTCACAACTAGCAACACTGGAAATTACTCTATCTAATATAGGCCTTGGTCTAAATAAAAGAGTAAAGTGTACATATAAAAAACCTGACAATGATTCTGTACTGTAATGAGATCTTTAAAAGCACCACTGGATGCTTGTATTCCTGTTTTTGGATTATTATATTAAAGACTGTTATCTCCGATCGGCGTGCAATTCAATTTAAGATGCCAGAGCACTGTGCAGCATATTCGTGCTCAAATCTGCGGACCATCGCAAATAGGGCTCGGGGGATTACTTTTCACAAGTAAGATTTAACATTACCGTACTATTGGTTGTATTTTGTGTATTTGTACCATGTGTCTCGTATCATAGCTACATGTATGACCATTGCAGCAAAAAAACCAGCGTGAAAATCAGTTCGGTATTCAGTGAGATATAATTAATTAAATGCGCTGAAAGCTCATTGCACCTGCCAAACAGATTACACTGAGCAGAGCGGGTGACCGGTCTAAGATGGCGGCCCCACGGCTCGTCCGCGCCATAGACAGTAAAAGAAATGGACACAGCGATCCCATAGATTTCAACGGAGAAAAGTGAAGCCAATTAGCAGCACTCGCTTCCTGATGGCTGAGCGTACTGCGCCGGCTCAAACTGAGCTTGACGACGGAGATGTGACGTGAGCAACCTGACTGACAGTTGAACGTCTTCTAGTAGCGGTGCCAAGAGGAATCTGAATCATTCCCTTCCGAATCTTGCAGACCCGGAGATCGTGAGTATTAGCTGTCCATGAGCAGCAGGAGCAACTTTATGACTCTCTATGGGCTTCTCCCTTGACTTTATGCCTCCACGTCCCCCCGATTGCCTGTGAGCTTCTCCTCCTGTCTATACGGTAATTTCTCTACTGTGCGACAGAAAGTTGCGTGGTTATGACGCAATCGTTAGCCTATTTTTACAAAAACGGCTTCTACGGGGCCATAACGTAAGATACAAAGTAATGGAGCCTTTTATACATTGTTGTGTTTCTTTAGAAATAAAATAATGGACAAATGGAGTCTTTAAACGCCTCAGATGTAAAGTTATTCGCTGTAGAAGTGACGCCAAAATGAATGGGAGTCAATGGAATGCTAACAGCAGGTGATGGTCTGCTACAATGGCGGCCCTCAAGGGAAGCTTCAGTTTCCGGCTGATGGATTTGCTCAACGCCAGTAGGCAGTAGCGGTCAATAGGCCGGCTACTCTCTATTATGTCTATGGTTGAGACTACAAACACTCGTTCCTTATTTTCCCAGGGTGTGGGACCCACTCACGCTAATTACAGATCAGTGGGTGGGACTTCAATTTTTTTTTAACTAAAAGCAATATCCTCCATCTTGTTTGGAAGCTAAGCTAACAGGCGCTGTGGAGCCAGATGTAAAGTTACGACAATGGTGAAATGTAGCTACTCAATATGATATGGAAGAAGAGGATTTTGAAAGTCTGATGCTCGAATCAGATGTTCGTGGCTACTTTTACGAGCCGTATGTGTTGTGAATGCACTGTTATGCAAGTTGAAAACCACTATATTGTTGTGATCATAAACACAGCTCAAAGGCTTCATACCAGTGGCCCTCCTTCACAAAACATAACATCTTCCACAGTTTTATCATTGGTACAATATATTACATATTCATGAAAGACTGAATCAATACGAGCAAGGACATGTTTAAATTCAGTTCAGTTTTATTGATAATAGATTACCCCAACAACACAAACATTGACAGATGGTTTGTTCTGTTACTCCTTTTCTATACAAAAAAAAAAAATGAACTGGTTACCGGTTTTGTGATGTATTTGCTTATAAATAAATAGACTTCTGTTAAAAGTTAGGCTAGTTTGAGAACTTCTTTAATCATCACACCCAGACCATCAAAGATCTCATGGATGGGAGCGTTGCACATGAACGCACTCGTAGTCACCAGTTTGTTCTTGGAATCCACATGCACCTCACCAACATTTTTATTCAAGTGTTTGCTTCCCAGTTCTGCCATGGTTTTGGCCACCTGAGCGTACGGCCACCTGCGGTAGCAAGAAAGACAATATCAACCAGTTATACCACCAGAGCCCACTTTTAAGAACTCTGCTGCTTAAAGGTGCATTGTGTAATATTTAGGAGGATCTGTTTACAGAAATGCAATATCATATGCATAACTATGTTTTCAGTGGTGGATAAAGACCTTACATAATGAACCGTTATGTTTTTATTACCTTAGAATGAGCCATTTCTATCTGCATACACCACGGGTCCTCTTACATTGATATAGCCATTTTGCGCTGCCATGTTTCTACAGTGGCCCTAAACGGACAAACTACTACAGAGCGCGTTTCATCACTATGTTGTTCTTCATGGAAAGAGGCTAGCTAAAGTCAGTGAATAAAACACTGACACAATGATAAAGAAGTAACAATTATATTCGCAATAACATATCGTTTTACTGAATAATTAAGTAAACCTAATTTATTAATTTATCTTTGTAAAGAAACCTCATTGCTTAACTGGCTACTCTCTGCTGTCTCAGACGACGACATCACTTCCTGTCGGCCACAGTAACTTCTGTTGGTTGCAATTCGCAACCTCACCACTAGATGTCAAATTTACACACTGCACCTTTAAACCATCATCTCTATTATATAAACCCTGCTAGAAAATATTGCCCAAACTCACTTCTCACACTCGCAGTCGTGTCCGACGGTGATCTCACATCCTGGGATAGCTTTGGCTGCCAGCACAGGGGAGATGCAGCACATGCCCATGGGTTTCTTCGCCTGATGGAAAGCTTTAATGACCCTCTCAATCTCAGGAGTGATTGAGTAGTCCTTGCCTTTGGTGGCCCAGTTGCTCAGGTTTTTAGCCACTCCAAAACCACCTGCATGGCACATTAAGAGTTCATTCACCATGAATTGAGAAATCAAATTGTCCTTGATCATTGAAATATAGGAGGTCAATGTAAGTTATACTGTCAGCTTTTATTGAAACAAGTTAATAAAAAACGAATAATAATAATAATCCTAATAATCCCCATCCACTGAATTGGCACTATCACTCTCTCTGTTCTCCACCTATAGCGGGTGTGTGGTGAGCGCACTGGTGCCGTACTGTGGCTGCCGTCGCATCATCCAAGTGGATGCTCACACTGGTGGTGGTTGAGGAGAGATCCCCTGATATGATTGTAAAGCGCTTTGGGTGTACGTCCAGACGTTCATGTTGTTCAAATCGAGATAAACGGTCAACTTCACACTGTTCTTGTTAGTAGTAGTGGGCGTTTATATTGAAGTCTTGAGACACATTTAAACAGAGCCTTTGAATCAGAGGGCTAAAATCAGGGTAGAAAATGTCATTTTATTTCTAAATGATCAACGGTAACATTTTAGAGTAATGGTCCATCATTAATAGGTAACTATGCAGGAATTAATGCAGGACAAATGAATAGTTCTACATTAACACTTCAGCTACTACTATTAACTAATATAGAAAAAAAAAGCTTAACTAATCACTAAGTAATATCACATTTAGGTCTGGGATAGTTTCGTTAATAATCAATAATTACTGGATGAGATTAGCTTCATTAATAACTATCTATGACAAATTAAAGAACAATTAATTACCAATCAGAACATTAACGTGTGTCTGAGATGTGATCAGATCTTTTTTACTACCTAGTCACTCTGCAGGAACTACTAGTGATCTGGACCATTATTTTAAAGTGAAAAACATGTTCAGAGTAAAAAAGACAATCGGTAACATCTCTTTATTTATTGTTACCAAATAAATAAATAAATCTACTAACATTTTAAGTGCACCTTAGGAAACAAAATTTAAAAATGCAGTCCATGATTTCATTTGGAGGTTTGGCTTTCGTTAGGAACTTTGGCCTGCTTTTAAAATAACAATTTGTGCTTGTTTGTTGTGAAGTTGCTTAGCCAGGGTGGTATCACTTTAAGGGCTTTCGCACCGGATAGTGCTAGGAGCTAGCCACCAGGGTGTTCTCCGAGAACTAATGGTTCCCTCAGGAACGTTTTCCTGGTTGCATTGGCACCGCCAGTAGGAACTCTGAAGTGGCGTAAGCCGCGCTTGTTGTGACTTTTATTTTGACGGCGCTGAGAACGCCAGACATAGTTGACTAGTTTACGATCTGTTTAACAGTCCTGTCTAATCCGTTATTGGACAGAACTGTTATACATAGAAAGTAGACCGTATATGAAAAGGTATTAGCGTATGCCGTGTGGTTGATGTCCAGTGTTGCTGAGCAGAAGATGTGACGTGAGCAACCTGTCTCACAGTTGCACGTCTTCTAGTAGCGGTGCCAAGAGAAATCTGAATCATTCCCTTCCGAATCTTGCAGACCCGGAGATCGTGAGTATTAGCTGTCCATGAGCAGCAGGAGCAACTTTACAACTCTCTATGGGCTTCTCCCTTGACTTTATGCCTCCACATCCTCCCGATTACGCGCGAGCTTCTCCTCCTGTCTATACGGTAATTTCTCTACTGTGCGACAGAGAGTGGCGTGTTATGACGCAATCGTTAGCCTATTTTTACAAAAACGGCTTCTACGGGGCCATAACGTAAGATACAAAGTAATGGAGCCTTTTATACATATTCGTGTTTCTTTAGAAATAAACAATGGACAAATGGAGTCTTTAAACACCTCAGATGTAAAGTTATTTGCTGTCAAAGTGACGCCAAAATGAATGGGAGTCAATGGAATGCTAACAGCAGGTGAAGGCTTGTTAGCCAATGGCGGCCCCCGGGGAGACTTCAGTTTCCGGCTGGTGGATTACCCCCTTGGTTTAGACCGACTCTGAAGTAGGAGATAAATTAGTTCCTTCAAAAGGAGTTCCTAGAACTAAAATCGTTCCTAGTTCCTGTGGTGGGAACGCGCCAAACTCCGCATACTTCCGCCAATAGTTCTAGGAACTATGAAAAGGTTCCTCCGGTGCGAAAGCCCCTATTGTATACAGTATAGTTGTATGTATAGTATATGAATTTGTGCTGTAGTATGATGTCACAGATGTTTCGATTACCTGGGATGACGAGAGCCTCAAAGGCGCTGACCTCGAGCTTGGCCAGGTCAGTGATGTCCCCCCGGGCGATGCGGGCACTCTCCTGAAGCACGTTCCTCGTGTCTGTCCCAGGCTGTCCTTCACAGTGATTCACCACATGCATCATCTCAATATCAGGGGCAAACATCTGAACCTACACCACAAAGTGAGCTGCATTAAAGCCAAGTCCAACTGAGACGCAAATGACACGTTTTATTTTCATGCTAGAACTTTTCTTCACTTCAAATGTATCATGGGTTTCTGCTCATTTCCAGATTTAATTAAAGGAAAGTTGTGAAGATTGTGTGTGTGTGTGTGTGTGTGTGTGTGTGTGATTACCTTGGCACCTGCTCGACTGAGGTGTACCATTACAGCAGACGCCTCATGAACCTCTGTGCCATCATACACACCACATCCTGACAAAATCACCGCCACACGCTTTGCCATCTTGCCTGTTACACTAAACACAAACAAGGAAATCAACGTTTAATGCTGCTCTTTTACCATAAGTATTCATTTGAACACAATGCGAAGGTTCATGACAGTAAGAAAAGAAATCAGAAGTACACAACAAATGCCAGTTACACACACACTTGCAGAATTAATTATTTAAATGGCTACCAACACCCCTAGAGAGTTTTGCCAAGGTAACACACTTCAGTTTCCAAGGAGTTAAAGTAAACAAGTGCTGAAAACTATTTATTGTTGGTTTTATTATACACATTCTGTATACAAAATGTTGGTTACAGTAAAGAGTAATAGTGAGAATAATATGAATAGTAGGCTACCATTAAACAACAACCTTAAAAAATATCAGAAAATTGATATGGAAATAATGATGTTTCAGAGTGAAACTTAAAGGTTTAAGTAAATCCAGAATTGCAGTTGTTACAGTAAATCCAATGCTTTAACCTACCTTGTTAAAGGAGTTGTCTTTTCAGTGAAGGGTGTTGCCTTTCTGAATGTTTCGCTGAACTCACAGACGAACAGACGGGCTGACTGCTTATATTACTGAAGGTTATACGGTCCCTCCCACGGAGGCGTGTTAAACGGTCACACACTGTCAGAGCTTCCTGGAAGGAAAAAGAAAGCTATTGTCTATTTGCCCACGCAGACAGTGCTTAGTCATGCCTACCTTTCTGTCTGAGCTCACCTGTTTGTACATTGTCTGAGCTCACCTGTTTGTACATTGGTGCCATATTAACTGCACTGCAACAAAAACGAAAGTTTCATGTAATTGACAGGATGTGATTTGGAGACCTGTATAAGGATATAAAACATTACTAATACACATATATGTATATATATATATATATATATATATATATATATATATATATATATATATATATAAACGCTACAGTGTTAATTTTTTTGACTAGAAATGATTGTTGTCACAGACATTTTCCCTGGATGTATGAAGTCAGATCTCCTCAGATTCACACAAGTGTTATAGCAGAGTAACCACAGTAGTAGGCTTTTCACATTAATTATGTAAACATGTTCCATTACCGTTTCGTAATGCTTATCTCCATTATTAGCGTTATATTCTATTAATTTGAAATTAATGGTTAATTTGAAATCTAACACGTCTGTAAAATAATTTTGAAAAGTGTGTTTGTGCTATTTTTCTTTAAAATAAATGCATATTTTCTATCTACATCCACATAAAAAAAAAAAAAAAAAAACGTACATTCAAGTGTATTAAACGAAAAAGTAATAAGCTATAAGTTTCTAATTAGTAGGCTGGGCCTTTTTTAAAGCAGCAATGGCTTAAATAAAAGTTAAACAATTGAAACGACATACTTTTGTTTTGTATTCGACGGATTGTATTACCATCCGTGTTGAGGAAACTCCAGGGAAGAAGGAAATAAATCTTTTGAAAGTGCTTTTCTGACATCATCGTGTACGTCGTCACGAGTGTGTATATAAAGCTCAGTGCGTGTGAGAGCGTGTGTGTGTGTGTGTGTGAGCTGTGAAGAAGGATGGCGGAGTCTGAATCTTTGCACTTGTCCATCGGAGTTCTGGGAGTATCTGGAGGTATGTGCAGAAAATAGAAAAACGTTTTGTGAGCTTTTAGATCTTACAAATTATTTATTAGCTAGGCATTTAAATGATTATCGCTGTTTTTAATCTCGAAAAATGTTTTGTTTTATTAATCAAACAAAAGTGATATTAAAGAAATGTGTTTTGGAATTAAACATTTTATTTGCGATGTAATTAAATTTTTAATCTTTGTAATGTTTTATGATAAGCAATATATAATATCCTTGTAATTTGTAGGCTATTTATTATGTTTTAAAAAAAAGTAGAGGTCAAAGCTAATGTGTGTAGCCTACTGTGCAATAAGTTAACTACACGTTGATGGAAACTTGACGGTCTTTTTTTTAGACTTGAAATGATAGTGATGCCAATAATAATAGTGTCTTATTAATAGGTTCTTTGTTGCTTCTGGTGAACAACTACGCAAGCTCTCCAGACAGACCTCTGATCACAGACACAGCTTTGGGAGTTCTGCTCCTCATTATTGCGGCTCTGCTGGCTTATTCAGGTAATATATCTTCACAGAAATGTAAATCACATTGACATTTTTTTTTTTTTTACTAATTACTTACAAGCTACAAGTTAATCACAAGTTAGTTTATTTTAGTTTATTTTGTCAAATGGAGACATTTGTAATGCACTTCATACCTTTTTTTACTTAAACATAAACAACATATTTATTGTTTGTAACATATTTAGATGTTTAAAATGTGCAGGATGATGATGCATCAGCCAATGTGTTATTATAGGAAATTACATTCGCTAATTTAGTTGTAATAGCACAAAATATAAAATATAAAAAGAGGGGTAAGATCCCCCCCCCCCCCCCCCCCCCCCCCCCACCCACACACACACACACACATCTGTGTAATATGTATAAATTACTTTTGATATCATTCTTATTAATATGTATAGATTTTTTAAGTGTCAGTAATGTAAAATAGTAAATCAACTATTCAACCTAAAATTGTAGGTTTTGTTCCATTAAAATTTATACAAGATGTTTTATTGAGCTCTATTTTTTTTTTACTAATTTTAAAGTTGTTGATAAGTAAGGAGCATTCCATTCAATTTGATGGAATTTTAATATACAACTGAAATTCATAAATCTTAAAAAAAGACTTACATTTTATTGAGTATATACATTTTGTGCAAATCCAATTTTTCTCATCAGCCCATGTAAATCTCTCTCTCTCTCTCTCTCTCTCTCTCTCTCTCTCTCTCTCTCTCTCTCTCTCTCTCTCTCTCTCTCTCTCTCTCTCTCTCTCTCTCTCTCTCTCTATCATTCTCCATCTCACTGTCCTTTTATATAGGTGTACGGCGCAACCAGTCCCACAATGCACTTTTTGGTAGTTTGTGCTTGACAGTGTCCGCCCTATGGTGTGGTTCAGGTTTAGTGCACATACTTTCAGGTGAAAAGATAATAAATGGCAGAAATGAGCTGAGAGATGCTATGGTGCCAGGTCTTGCAGCTTTCGCTCTGGCACTGCTTGTTATTTGCATTGTGGCTGTCATATGTCATGAGGTTGTCCTCTCATTCATTGCCCTGACCATAGGTTTAGCATGTGCCCACCAGATTGCTGGTTTGGCAGATTTGGCTTTCGGACAGACAGCCACCGCTGTCTGCTACCTCATGGTCTGTTTAGTGGGAGCTTACTTTGGCAGTGGCCGTTTGTTGGCTTACATTACACTAAGAAAGATTCAGCTACCCGGAACATTTAAGAAAGAGAGCTTGAAACCATTACAGAATAAAGAAGCTAATGATGTCGTGACCGTTGGTATAATCATGAACCTGCTGTCAGCCAGCGTGCTAGCTTGTCCTCTGCTTGGTGTTGTGCCTAAGCTTTTCTCTGGCCATGTGCCATGGCTGTGGACCGCTGGTGTCTTTCAGCTGGGTGTGTGTGTTAAGAGCTATAGATCTATGGACACCCTGGCGGCCACTTTCTATGGCTTCACATCGATTCTACGCTTCACTGAAGGGTACACTGCACTAGTTGTGCACTTAACAAACCATGTGCCCTATTCCCCAGTGCCTTTTCCAGCTGTATTCTCTGTGTTGTTTTTCATCCTGGCTTTGTTTAGCTTGCAGGGAGGATTTGTGAACACTATCTACCAACTGTTGTTTGTGGCATACTGTTTAGCAATTGCTGCCGAACCCCAGAGCTTCTTTCAGAGAGGAACACAAGGTGTACAGGCTGCCATCTTTGTTACGTCTGCTTTTGTGCTCTTTATAACCCTTTATAACATGGTTTCCTTAAACAAGATACCCATAGGTGCCGGGTTCCTTAAGAACCTGTTGAGCCGCAGTAATACATTTGTTTTACAAACCCATGACAAAGATCTACATGCTCCCTATCTGGGCTACTCTAAGTATGCAGACGCTGAGGTGTTGGGCCATGGTTGCAGTGTCCTGGCTGCCTTTTCAATTACAGCCTCACTTTCAAGTGGAAACCCCTTGGCCATTCTCATCCTACCTTGGGCAGTGGTTTCAGGTGGTGTGCTACACCTACTATGTGGTTTTGTTGCCTTTGCTCGGGGAAAGACTCTAGAGAGTACGACTTTCATTCTTTACGGCATCATGTGGACCGTGTGGGGACTGACACGCTTCGGCGGCCTCTATGGAGATGTGCGTGGCCTACACTTAGCTGTGGGAATCATCAGTTTCATGATCTTCAATGTATTAGTGACTGCTGGGGCTCTGTTTCTCAACAAGGCTTGGTTCGTCTATACCTTCACCTTCCAACTCATCCTCATTAGCTTCTTACTGGATGCAGTAGGCGTACTGCCCTACGGCTACGATATCGGTGTGACCATCATTGTTGGGCTGGTCAGCTTCTACATTTTCCTGGCCAGCATTTTCAACTCCACCTTTAAAAGTCCACAACTGCCATTCGGTGATCCTTTCATCAAGTTGAGTGGCTTTGGAGGAGGCAAAGACAGTTGCCCTCATCTTACAGCCAGGAGGTCCACATCTGTTCAGCAGATTGCAGGTGAGCCACTATCGAAAAAGTGAGAACATTTCTATGTATAGCCTTAGTCAGGGAACATGCCATATTGTACACAATTGAAAATGAAGCTGTGAGGGATAGACTCTTTACAATGGCATGCCCTCTAACCAAGCAGTCGTGGCCTAATGGTTATAGAGTCAGACTGGTAACCCGAAGGTTGTGGGTTCGATTTTCAATACCGGCAGGAAATGACTGAGGTGCCCTTGAGTAAGGCACCAAACCCCCAATTGCTCCCCGGGCACCCACTACTCTGGGTGTGTGTGTCCACGGTTTGCTACACGTATATTCACTACTCACTGCTCCTAATGTGTGTGCACTGACTTGGATGGGCTAAATGCAGAGGACAAATAATGAGTATGGGTTACCATACTTGGTCTTCGCATCATGTTACTATAAATATATTGATCACATTTCATTTTCAAAACTGTTTTATGGAGTTTTTGTTTTTAGAAAGTCTTTGGGAAAGATGTTTCATCAGCTTAACAATCAGTATGTTGTTTGGCAAGTTGGCAACATTACACTCCATTGAACACCCTCTACTTCTATCCCTCACAGCCTAGTTTTCATTCCTGTCAAAAATTAAATATGGCACTACCCTGACTAAGGTCTATTGGCAAATCTGTTTGCATTTACATGAGTTTGTATAGACTTTCCTTTCTATTATGACAGAGATCATGAAGAACGGGGGCATATGTGGAATGCCCACAGACACGGTCTATGTACTTGTGGCAGCTTGCAATCGCCCGCAGGCTGTTGAAAAGGCATATAGGTAAGCCTAAATGTAAGAATAACCACTTTTGGTTTCTATTCCTCCATTAGTGTCTCTAACCATGTAATCACCCCTCTATAGTGTAAAGAAACAGGCCAAAGAACGTCCCATGTCCTTATGGATTTCATCCATAAAGCAGCTGGAGCCAGTCAAACAACAGATCAGCCCTGTTCTCTGGGACTTTATGGAAGCTGCTTGGCCATCTTCCATTAGCCT